CCCTGCCGACTGCCGACTGCGGTCAGTTGCGGTCGAGCGATAGAAAATCTTCTCGCGGCTTCTCTCTTCGGTTCCGCAGACGGGCCACGCTCGGCCGCGCTCGATGATTTTCCTCGCGGCTGTCGCTTCCCGCAGTCTTTAACCCACGCCGGAGTCGGAGCGTCGCGTCACTCGCGCTGCGTACGCGTGCGTGAGTGCGTACGGTACGTGCGTGGGTTCGCCAACGACACGCCAACACGCGCTTGGACAGGACGACGCTTTTCTCCTGTCTTTACGTTGCGTTACGTGGTTACGTTACGCCCGTTACGGAATCGCGGCGAAGCGACACGACGACGCGGCGAACTAGGCGGCCTAGGCGCTGCGCGGCCACCCGTCCGAACGTCAACCCGTCAACCCCCCTGAAGTCCGTCCCAGTCCCGCTCGTCGCGCGCGGCGGCCCGCGGCTACCTTCGCGCGTAAGCGCCGATCGAGCGCGCGATCGAGTGCGACCCGCACGATTTGAACGTCGTCGGGCCACGTCGTTGCGTCTCTTTTTTTATCCACCGATCGACGACGAAGTCGCGCCCCACGATTTTCCCGTGATCGACACGACCTGTTTTTTCCCTTCCTTTCCTATATAGCGTCAACTTGAATGATTTCGCGCCGACGAAAACGAAGTGCGCGCGCTCCGCGTACGTGGTGTGAGTATGCGCGCCGCTCGCTCAAAGCACCACGCGGAAAATCAATAGCGCTTTCGTGTATGTGTGAATGAGTGAGAGCGCGCGCGCATCTCACGTGTGTGAGACGGCAGTGACGTGAGGTCCATCCTGATGGGTGCGAATTAAGTAAGATCTAGCCAGACAAATTTGCGTAACTGCAGAACTATGTGCATGGAGAAAATTATTCAATCGCAATTTCTATCATAAGATCGCGTATAAAATGCAATTGAATAATTCTCTTTACGCATACATTTATGCAGCTATGTAAGTTTGTCTGAAGCCCTTACCACAGTATAGGTAAGAACAGTAGGTTCACTCTGTCAAAAACGGTGCTAATAGTCGTCCCTCGCGCATGACCGAATTCCATAGTTAACAATACGACGCACCAATCAGTTTCCTCTAGGAAACTAAGGAAGCTAAGCAACTTCAATCTTATAGGTGCTCATCCACAGCCAATATGGCGGCCGATTAGCAGTCAGATCAAAGATGCCAACACAGAATGAACCTACTGTTCTTAGCTATACTGTGCTCTTATCCCGGATCTACAATAGAGTTTTAAGCTCTAAGCCATAAGAAATGGACGAATCATAGTCGATTATTCTCCTCGAATTCAACTGTAATTGGTCAATTTCTTACGACTTAAGGCTTAAAACTCTATTGTAGATTCGGACTTACGGATCACGGAGAACAGTTGCAATTTCAACAATTTGAATTGGCAAAACTAATACGATGGTCTCCATTCTACACGTGGGACAGTCGCTCGATTAAAAAAGTTCTCTAGTCTTTTCACATAATATGAAAACATTCTCAATTTAGAGAATAAGTTTATGATTAAGTAATATGTAGACATTCCTAATTATTTTCGAATTTTTTGTTGACCGTATAATTTTCTTTAAATAATTTTCTAAATTAGCTGAAGTCTTATGAAGATTTTGAGTAATTTAATCGTAAACAAAATTAATAAAGAAAGATGGGGAATGGAGGTGAAATTTCATTTTTTTAATTTGAGAATGTTTAAAGAACATTTTGGAATGAACAAATGAAATTTTATTGCTTTACATTTTTTATTTATTATTTAAAAAATAGTAATGACCAAAACTTGTATGGTAAAATACACGAAAAGTCACGTGACTCTTCTTCTCTTTTTTTTTTTAATTGCTAGAGAATTTCCTTAAGAATATATTAGGTGCATTTCTGCAAAAAAGTAACGAATTGGTAATTTATACCTTCCATATAAAAATAAATGTTATACATATAATATGAAACATGAATATGAAACAATTCAATAAGGTCAATATTTAATATTTAACAATATAATTTTTACCACAAACTATAGAAATCAATGCCTTAAATAGTCTAGCTGGATCTTAAATACTTATATGATTCTGTGTGAATTTATATACTACATATGTAGTCCTTTGAAACGCGCGCCTAAATAATTTTTCGGTCTTGAAACGCTAACTCTACTAAACTATCGCAGTAATATCACGAGTTAATTTATATAATATTTAAATAACAAATTTTCTCATTTTATCTTAATTATTTTTTCAAAACGTACCGTGTGTCTATTTATTAAAATAATTTTTAATCTAGGCTCTAAATCGTCGCCAAACTTTCTTTGTTACTTTCAAAGACAATCTTAATTTTTTACATAATTTTGTTAAAACATGTAAATATCAATAAGTTAGAACAAGACCACTATGTATAAATAAATCAACAAAGTAGATAAGCACCAGAGAACTACGGTCAAAGTTAGATGTTGGAGTATTTCTATATGTATTTTTCATATACATTTATTTCAGATGATTGCGCGTCAAGAAATTACTTTTGGATTACTTGCAATACAATCAACTGAAATAATACATATTTTCAAAAATTAAATTGATTGTCGATTTGATGTTACTATCAGAATTTTAAACCTGTCAACACACACTTATACAAGCAAACATCCTTAAAGGAGAAAATAATTTGCATGTACAAAGAAGATTCATTCTAAAATGTGCAGTAACTGTACAAAAATATATATTTTTTTATTTGCAAGTAATACTTTAAGAATTTATTGAATTCTCTTTCATTTATTACATAAATACAATTTATACAAGAGTAATAATAAACATCCGGTAATTCTTGAAGATTTTTATGTACAAATACTTACAGATACGCATTTGCATGTTTTTACATTCTCACTTTGTTTCTTTCATCAATGGATTTTTTATCACAGGACCAGTCCCTTCGCAATGAATGCTGTCGTAGGTCCATTTGCGATTGTTCCTAATAAAGTCACGACTCGAATAGATTATTTTGCAATAAAACAGGTCAGACGTTTCACTAGATACCGAAAATTTCGTAAAATTACCTGCAGTCGTGGGCACATTTTGAAGAAGAACATTTGAAACATGGAAAATGGCATCCTGGGCAATCTAAGCTCAAGCAGTCACAGAGATCATCCGATGTCCGTATAAAAATGCCTTCATCGTTGTATAGGTGCTTCCTGTAGCTCTGATACAATCGACGATACAGCTTGCGCTTTTCTCGTTCGCTGTGCTCTGGATCGAAGTTTCTCAAAAACTTTTTGCTCAAATTATCCACGGCTCTCTGTCTCGAGCCCCGAGTACTCTTCTGTGAACAGGACATGAATACGATTAACCATCTTCCTTTTCCTCAGTGATTAACCGATTGTTGAATAACCGATATGAAAAAGTTAGCTATATACAAAAATATAAAAAAAATTATGTATTGTATTGGTATCTTTGGATTTCTCAGTTCCTCTTGATTACAAGGTGAACGTTTTAAAAATGTGCTGAAATATAAAAAGTTCAGTTAAAAAGAATAGATTTATCAGGTTGGAATGTTAGAAATATCCCATACACAAGAGTAATTACGTTATAAAACAAACCACGCGAGTAATGTGAGATTAAATGAAGCACTCACTCTTTCGCTACGCGTAGGTGCTGGATTGCCCGATGAACTTTCGCCGGAACTCTCCATTCTTTGATTGTCGATTGGTCGCATAAAAACACACAAAAGCTTCTAAGGAGAACTGATAAATATTTGTCGCACTTGTCCTTAAATCCCTACTTGTGACAAATAATTCTGGAGAGGTTTTTGCTAAAAATAAGAAGAATCTTGAACTTGTCCAAGTTAATACAACTGAATTTTATACTCTGACATTCGTAAAATAATTTGATAATTATGAAGGAGACGAGCTTACGAAAATCATTAAAATTAAGCTTAATCGACGCGTTTTTGCATAAAACGAAAGAATCTGGCAGAAAAAAATGTTGCTCTACCCCATAAATCGAAAGATTAAACGTTAAAGTCGACGAATATTCAGGTTAAGAATTAAGAAATATGTTACAATACGATCAAAAATAGGTTTGGCTACTGACAGTTAGGTTAGGATAGAGTCATAGCATATAAAATAGACCATGACTACGTTTATACGGTTCGATTTACGCCGAAGTTATAACATCGATGTTATGGAATTAACCAATCATAGCTATTCTTCTGAAGAATGGAATGACTGTGATTGGCCAATTTCGTAACATCGATGTTATAACTTCGGCGTAAATCGAACCGTGTAAATGTAGTCCATGGTGGAAAGATTACCATGATGGACGATTCCAAAATTCACTGCCAGCGCTGAAAATCTACAGTTTATGTTACGTATACTGTACATTTTTAGCACTGACAGCAAATTTTGGAACATAGTCGATGATGTGCTCAATTTGCAAACGTCTCTCTCTAATTCTCTGTCTTCTCGTTTGCTCGGTGATCGTTCGTAGGACGGAATCCATATGCTGGATTCACACTGCATCCGATTTTCGTCG